TTTCATATTTCTGAAACACGTGGCCGCCCAAGGCCTTTGCACTTGGTCACCCCTGGGGGCGCGAAGATTATTGCGCCTCGCGCGTCGCGGCCCGGGCAGGAGAGCCGCCCTTGTCTAGGGCGGCGGCGCAGGGGCGTGAAGTTCACCGCGCGTCGCGCATCGCGGGGCGCGATAATCCTCGCCTATCTACAAGTTACAAATTTGTACACGTAAGGCTCCGCGTGCGCCGTTTGGTTGGTTAAGTCCAGTGTGTTGGTTGGCTGGTGCGCCGGCTGGTAGGCAGGTTGGCTGGTTGAAGAGCCGTTTAAGGAGGCTGACGGAGGCCGGGTCACCCGCGCGCGCGCGTGGGGAGTTCTGCATTGTCTACAATATAAAAATCGACATGTTATTCCCGAAACTAAACCTGATTTTTTCTGGAGCCTTATAAGGAGGCCGACGGAGGCCGGGTCACCGGCGCTTGCGCGCGCTGGAGAATTCTGCATTGTCCAGAATATAGAAGTCGACATGTTATTCCCGAAACTAAATCTGAATTTTTCTGGAGCCTTTTCAGGAGGCCGACGGAGGCTGGGTCACCGGCGCTCGTGCGCGCGGGATAGTTCTGCATTGTCCAGAATATACAAGTCGACATGTAAAATGCCGCGTTTGAACATGTTTCTTGTTTTGTTCTGTTCTGGAGCCCTTTGAGGAGGCCGACGGAGGCCGGGTCACCCGCGCGCGCGCGTGGGGAGTTCTGCATTGTCTACAATATAGAAGTCTACATGTTATTCCCGCAACTAAATCTGATTTTTTCTGGAGCCCCTGAAGGAGGCCGACGGAGGCCGGGTCACCGGCGTTCGCGCGCGCTGGAGAGTTCTGCATTGTCCAGAATTTAAAAGTTATTCCCAAAACTAAATCTAAATTTTTTTGGAGCCTTTTAAGGAGGCCGACGGAGGCCGGGTCACCGGCGCTCGCGCGCGCGGGATAATTCAGCATTTTCCAGAATATAGAAGTCGACATATAAGTGCCGCAACTGAAAATGAATTTGTCCGGGGCCTTTTGAGGAGGCCGACGGAGGCCGGGTCACGGCCGTTCTTCGGCCAATGCTCCTCCCGCTTGCGCGGCGGTTAAGTTCGCGCTTCTCCTGGCCGCGCGCTGCTTTGTATAATCAGTACGTTTCTCATGTCCCGCACGTTAAGCTCCAAGCCCAACATGCGCGCGGATATTGCGGGGAAGCCGTCTGGCGCTCCAGAAAGCAACATCGCTTGCGGACCCGCGCGTTTGAGACGACGAAACCTTGCACTACGGGAAAAGGGTGGGCGGTGGCGGAAGCTCCAGCGGCATGGGGGCCCTCTCGCGGCGCGGAAGTGCGCGTCGGCATTCGACAATTCTCCTTGTGGCACCCGTGGGGCGCGGAGCCCGTTCGGGTGCGTTTCCGGGCTGGCTGCTGGGCAATATACCGCGATCCGTTTTCTTTGTTTCCATTTACAGATGATAATGTATATATATATATATAGAAAGAGAGAGAGAGAGAGAGAGAGAGAGAGAGAAAAGATGTTTGCGCTGCCGTCAATTATGTTAGCCGCGCCCTGGTCTAGCTTGTACCCGTCGCGACTCAAAAGTTTGGCTCGCTACGTGCACGTGCGTGTGTGTGTGTGTGTGTGTGTGTGTGTGTGTGTGTGTGTGCGCGTGTGTGTGTGTGTGTGTGTGTGCGTGCGTGTGCGCGTGCGTGTTTGCTTCGATTTTGGCGCGCCCGCGCGCGCTTTGGTTACGCAGCGCCGTCTTCAAAGTTGGACGGAAACAAATGGTATTGCGACGTTCTCGAGTGATGTCGCGACAGGTGTGCGCATCGCCGAGCAGCGGGCGGTTTTTCCCGTCGCTCGTAGCGTTTGCGCTTGCGCGGTGGACGCGCTCGCACGTTGAAGCTTGCGTCCCCTCAAGGCGCGCGCTGCCCTAGAGAAGCGGCTGCTTTCTCACTCGCGTACGCCGCGCGCCAAATCCAACATGTGCGCTGTTTGTTTCGGAAACCCTTTGGGCGTTGTACCAATGAGCATCGCCTGGGGTTCCCCGCGTTTGAATCGATGACACATCGCCCCATGGCAAAACATGCCTGGCAAAGATCAATGCCTCGTGGAATTCTTAATATTGCAAAGCAGCCGATGGCAAAACAGGCCGTGCAAAAATCAGTGCTCAGCGGAATTTTGAAAATTTCAAGGCGCTTCGTCTGTCAAATTCGTTTTTTTTGTGTTTTCATTCCGCGGGCCAAGAAGTTAACAGCCATGGCCTGCTAATGGTCGCTGTAGGAGACCCCCTCACTAACTTTTGGCGCTCCGAAAGGATTTCTTGGATCCGCGCTGGGCCCCCCCCCCCGGCGGCGCCTCCGGCGCCGCCCCTGGCGCGCTCCGCGCACCAGGGAGGGGGCTCCAGCGCAGATCCAAGAAATCCGAGTGGAGCGCCAAAACGTTATGTTTATGGCGATGTTTCTTTCCCTCATGTGGGCACCCTCAGGTTTAAGTCGGGCACGTCCCTCTACATGAGGAGTATCCCAAAATAGTCTAGTCAAACAAAGATTCCCGGGACGATGTTTGACTATCTCTGGGTATGTTTTCAACAGTCTGTTATTGATATTGCTTATGGTTCCTCCAAAATCTGCCTGTAGGGGGGACATGCCCGACCTCACCTCATGTGTTCGATCATGGACCCCTCTTTTCGGCAGCCGTCAGTCAGTCAATCCGCGCACGAGGCAGGCCGTAGTCTGCCGCAGGAGCCGCCCGAGACCGCCAGGAAGGCCGACCGCCGACCATGCCGACGATCCCTGGAGGCCACCAAGCCCAAGAAAAGCAAACGGCATAAGCAGAATGTGTTGGGCGCTCCTCCTCCTCCTCCTCCTCCTTCTCCCCACTCTCGTTCCCTCCGTTCGGCTCAGCTCGGCCCTCGGCCCGGAGGAGAACAACACAGCGCAACCGTGCTTTTGTTTGCGCTCCACGCGGAGCGCGCCCAAATTTGATGTTCATGCCGCTGCTTCTTCTTAGTATTATTGTTGTTTTTATTATTATCATTATTACCAGTCGTATTATCATCATTCTTCCTCCTTTTTTGCCCTGTGTGCGGGCCCTATGCGCGGGGAGGCCGCTCCGCTCTGCAGTTAAGTCGGGCCTGTCCCCCTACAGGGGGGCAGGCCAAAATTGACCAAACATATTCTAAAATAGCAAAAAATTGTCAACCAGATCCTCCCCTGACTATTTTTTGGAAGATTCCTTTTTGACTATTTTGGAAGATTCCTCCTGTAAAGGGACAGGCCCGACTTCACTCTGCAGAGGTCAGCGCTCCGAATCCTCAGGGGCAACTCGGGTCAGGGCCAACTCGGGTTCGTTTCTTTGTTTCGGGAATCCATACCCAGACCCCCTCGCGTTATGACAAAATCTTGACGGGAAGTTGTTGGCTGTTTTCGGCCTCGAGGGGCCCTTACCGGCCCTCGGGACCGTCAGAAAATCGACTCCGGATGAAAAACTGGTCCCGGGAAAGGGGTCGAGACCCCTGGGGGTCGACGTTATGAACAAATCACGACGTCGGGGGTCTGGGTCGGGTTCGTTTTTTCCGGGGTTCCATACCCGCCTTACCCTGGGCCCGAGTTGCCCTCGGATAACTCGGGCGTCCAGAGCCCCAAATCATCAGCGGCAACTGGGGTCAGGGCCAACTCGGGTTCGTTCTTTTCTTGGGGATCCAAACAAGAGTTGCCCCGGGCCCGAGTTACCCCCGGATAATTCGGGCGTCCAGAGCCCCGAATCATCAGGGGTAATTCGGGTCAGGACTAACTCGGATTCTTTTTTGCGGGAATCCGAACCCGAGTTACCTCGGGGCCCGAGGTACCCCGGATAACTCGGGCGTCCAGAGCCCCGAATCATCAGCGGTAACTAGGGTCAGGGCTAACTCGGATTCTTTTTTGCGGGAATCCGAACCCGAGTTACCTCGGGGCCCGAGGTACCCCGGATAACTCGGGCGTCCAGAGCCCCGAATCATCAGCGGTAACTAGGGTCAGGGCTAACTCGGATTCTTTTTTGCGGGAATCCAAACCCGAGTTACCTCGGGCCCGAGTTACCCCCGGATAATTCGGGCGTCCAGAGCCCCAAATCTTCAGGGATAACTCGGGTCAGGACTAACTCGTGCCGTTTTTTCGGGAATCCAAGCCCGAGTTACCTCTGGCCCGAGTTGCCCCGGATAACTCGGGCGCCCAAAGCGGATACCTCCGATTGGAGCAGCACCCCTTCGCCTGCCGTGGAAGGCTGGCCCGCCGGCCAAGTCGGCCATGGCCCCCTAGCCTGCTACAGTGGAGGCCCATGCCAAGAAACACCCTGCTTGCATCCAGGGTGCCCTGGGTTTCTTGGGTTTGGATGGTCTTGCTGTGGAACGCGCAGCGTTCCCGCACCAAAAACCCATGGACGTCCTGGGGTCTCCGGGTTGGGTTTCTTGTGGGGGGGTTCTTGTGGGCTGGCCCCCACTGTATGTGTGATGGTGTACCTGTACTTGTGTATGTGTGCGTCCTGGGACCGACATCTCTTTCTCTCTGTGTGTGTGCCCCGGGCCCCTGCTCCTGCCTGCTGCCCCCCCTCCCCCGCAGCTGCCTCCCGCTGCCCCTCGCCCTCCTCCCCCCCCCCCAGGCCCTGTCGCGACGCCCCGCTCCCCGCGGCTTTCTGCCCCGGGAGGGGGGGGGGGGGCGCCTGAGGGCCTCGGCGCCTGACAGCATGACCTCCACGAGCGGCGAACATTCCGTACAGCCGCGCCGTGCCCGTGCGGATTCCAGACGCGATCTTGCGGATGCGCGGTCGCACGGATGCGTTCCGCGCGGGGCGTCCGCGACAAAAACGCGCCCTATCCGTCGGGTCGCGGCCCACGGTCCCGGCCCGCGAGGCCGCGGATACGGAGATGCGTTTCGTTCGTGCACGAGGCCTGCGATGGGAGTTCTGGCTCCTCGGGCACCGGGCCGGGAGTTTCGGGGGGGGGGGGGCAGGCATCGAACCGCAGTCAGACCGTAGCCACGTTGGTTCGAGATGGAGGTTGACGCACTGGATCGCGCCCCAGATTTGAGCGCGCTTCTGTTGCATGGCGTTTTTTGAGGCGCCACCAACCTATCGGTGGGGAATAATAACCAGGAGCCACAACAAAGCAGACAACAACTTGAAAGAAGGAGAGCACATCATTTTTGTCTCGTGCCCGTTCCAAGATCAAGGGGGGCCCGGCCATCAGCAGCAGATCTTGCAAGAATATTCGCAGGCACATTCAGGGTGGCATTATTCGCTGGTGGACCAGGTCGTCGCTAAGATGGCCGAGACAAAAGATGCAGACTTCGTTAGGGCTTGGAAAGCAAGTATCATCACGATGGTTCGTGACTTCCGGGCGCCAAAAGTAGTCGGCCTCTATTTGATAACTGGTGGGGGAAAGGGCTGCGAGCTTGAGCGCACGAATATCTCATCGGTTCGCTCATTCCGCCGGCCCAGGCTGTCCCATCGGGTTCGTTTGCCCGCGTGTTCGGTGCCATTGCGGCGGGCGGGGCCAGTAGGTTTTTGAAGGATGTTCGACCCGAGGGCAGCACCCGAGCGCAAAAGCAGGCCCTGCAGTTTGCCACGAACAGATGTGGCGGTGGTGATTCTGTGTTTTTCTTGGTCTTCCTGCAAGTGTTGCGTGAGCAGCATTGCCCAGGAGCTTGTCTTCGGGCTGCCGAGGGGCTGTTCGGATGATCGTGGGTCCCCGTGAGGCTCATCGGGGCTGCGTCGGTGCCATCTTGGGGCAGGCGCCCATGGGTTGCCGCCCTCGGGCCGGTGTGGGGTCTGCTTGGGGTTCGCTCTAAGATGTGTCTTGGGTTTTTCCTGGGGCGCGCTTGGGTGGTTTGGGGAGGCTTGTCGGACTGAACTCCAGACGGGACTCGGTCGGAGCCATCTGGCGATCTCGGGGCCCTCGGGGTCAGGATTGTGATAAGCGAGGCCTCGAGCAAGTCAGGGACACGATTCGTCAAAGTCCTGGCCTGAGCTCGACAGGCGGGGCGTTGGCGGGTCGCTCCCCTGGCTTGCCAGCGTCCTGGTTTGGCAAGGTCTTGGCTTGGAGGGCCCTGGCGGATGCGCGGGGAGGTGTCGTGGGGGGGCGGGGCGAAAGGGCGCGCCCTGCCTGGCTGACGGTCTTTTTATGAGCTCCCTGGGCAGCTTGTCTGTAAGGGCTCCGTGCGCGGTCGGCCCTGATTGGCGGGTCGACCATGCCAAGTGATGGCACCCTTTCGTGTCCTGTCTCTCCCGACCTGGGCAACCCACGTTTGCTCTGGTGTTCTGGGGCCACGTTGCCGTCGGAGGAGTCTTCTATCGGGTGTCCTGTCCGATCGAAGCTCGAGTGTTGCGCTTCGCGCGCCAGGTGGGGGAGCCTGGGCCCCCCAAGATCGGCGGCCCATCGCCGGCTCCCTGTCGCGGAGCCGCGTGAAGTTCTTCGGGGTCTTCGGCCGCAAGGGTGGCGTCTCGACGTCAAGACGTCGAACGCTCGGAGGAGAAAAAGGCACCGATACCGCTGCCCTCGCTATGTTTTTCCCGTCTCGGGCATCCTGGGAGGCCCTCGTCGCCACCGCTGGACTCGAATCGCAATCCTGGCCAGCACGCACCCCGGGAGAGGTCCGGGAAGTAGCGGTATGGGTACCTTTCGGGGGCGGAAAAGAGGGGGGTGATGACTAGGGGGGTGGACATCATGGCGTGGGCCATGATATCTCCCCAGATTTCATGGCGCCTCTTCTGGTTTCATTACGTCCCTGGCCCCCCCGCTGGGCCGCGCACATGCCGCCGGTCATGATTTGCACCCTCCCCATCTTGGACACCCCCCTCTTGGCCGCTCCCGAACTTTGTGGTTGCCCCAGGCACGCGCAGCAGCGGCCATCGGCGGTGCTCCGCCGCCGTGCCTGGGTTGCCTCTAGATGCCCCGCGTTTGGGGGGGCCTCTCTCGGAGCTCGTGTCAGTATCATATCGTTCATCCGATCCCCATCCCCGTCCCCATCCCCTTCGAGGCCCCCACCAGATGACCCCCCCCAGTTTGGGGGAGGCACCCCTCGAAGAGACCTCCTGCCCTGATGCGTCGATCGGCGAATCGGCCGTTTTCGGTTCGCGAGAGGGCGTCGTGGCCGTCATGTTTGCGGGTACAGGTCCGTCGGTTTCGGTCTTAGGCTGTTTTCACTAAAGGGAGGTCTGCTGAAGGGAGTTATGTCCACCGCCGAATGAGAACCATCTCTGATCTGACATGCCACGGGGTATTTTCCGTACGGGAAGCCCCCAGGAGCCGCCATTGTGCGCGAACCTCTAACACACACACACACACATATTCACGTTCACGTTCACATTCACATTCACGCACACACACACACACATCTACGCATTCTGAACCCTTTTGTTTCACCAGCGATCTTAGCACGCCTTTGGCCTGCTTGGCCTGCGATTTATTTCACTTGTGAAGGAGCTCTCAACGATCACCAACGCGACATTGATGATCAAATACGTGGACTGGTCATCTGACGCGCTGTTCAAACATTCAGCGGAGACTCTGCGTAAGGATTGGTTGCAGAACCTGGAAGACCAGAGCGAGAGGACTTTCGCGGGTTGTCAAGCTCCCACGTGGACACAAGACGGTGTCGACCGCCATTCTCGCCGTGGTCTCAGCGGCAGCAACAAGTGTGAGGTGGGCAAACCTTTGAGCACCGCTCAGCTCATGATTCTTGCAGCGGCCTCAAACAAGACCAGGGACCAAACACGCCAGGACATGCTGGCAGCTGGAGACGTCGTCCCTGCCGTGCCTCCGCGACTCGGCTCGGGAGACGACGTTGTGTTCTTGCAGGGGTTCTCACCAGAACGTTTAAGGATTTCGGAGGGCACGCTCCCCCTTTTCAATGGTAAGAGGTTCCCGTGCGCCAGTGTTCAGGGAGGTGAGAAGGGAAGAATAGTGGGACACGTCGTTGAACTTGATGGCGGGGAACTGGTCCTTGCGAAGCCGGATTCGGCAGTGCAGTCAGCATTCGCTATGAAGACTTCAGTTGATTTGAAAGGTTTCAATTTCCAAGGGAGGGTGGCGTCGACCGATTGGTACAATTGGTGGGTATTCGTTGGAGAAGGGTGATCACTTGCACCCGCACCCTGGGAACGTATCAGTGGTCAGTTCGGAACTAGGGCTCAGTGCACTGACGATCTCACCACCGCTGCCACCATTGGCTAAGCAGCCACGTTACTACACAATCTGCTTCAGCGCGTCTTCACCGCCATCTGTGCTCTTCAGGACGGCCTCCCTGCGCGCACGCTCGTCGGGGCGATGCGCTCTCGGCGAAAGCATCCGCTGGTGGTTTGGGCACGTCTTGCTTGCGTGCCCCTCGTGGAAAACCGGGTGCGACTTCTCCGCCTTTCCCGGCCCGTCCTGCCCCGAGGGGAAGCGGCGATTCATCGGAGGCCATTGGTCGGGGGTGGACAGACCTCCTACCCTGACACGTCGATCAGCGAATCGGCCGTTTTCGGTCCGCGAGAGGGCGTCGCGGCCGTCATGTTTGCGGGTCCAGGTCCGTCGGTTTCGGTCCCAGGCCGTTCTCACTAAAGGGAGGCTTGCTGAAGGGAGGTCTGTCCACCGCCGACTGGGGAGGGTCCTGGCGGCCCGGCCCGCCCGGCCGCGCGCCCTCCTTCGGATGTCGCCGGGGGCGTCCCTGGCCCAGGGTGCCCCCAGGATTTCCGTGGGGGGCCAGGCGGCCTCCCGGAGCCGCCCCTTCCGAGGCTCCGAGGGCCCCTAGCCAGGGGCTGCAGCGTGCCGCGCAGGCAGCCGAGGACGCGTTGGGCTATACGGGCACCCCTGGCAATCCCCGACGGCGCTCGCCCTCGCGCGCGGCTCCTCTCACGACCGGCCCGGCTTTCTCTCGTGCGCGCGACGGCAGGGGACGAGGAGAGAGGAGCAGGACAGGGACCCCGAGATCCGACGTTGTACAGAAGTGCAGCATCGCAGCAGATCACGGCGTGAGCCCCAGACCACGACTCTCTGCGCTGTTTTAGATTCGAGCTGGATTGATATGTGAGGGTCCCGGGTCCCGAAACCAGGCGAAAACGCCCGTGGCGAAAAAAATGTAAGGCCAGGATCTCTGGGGCGGAGGAGGAAGAGGAGGAGGAGGAGGAGGAGGAGGAGGAGCTCACTCGTGCGCGCGCGCTCCTCTCAGCGTCTGGCCCGTTCGTGTATTGGTTGTGGCACAGTGTTGCTCGGCCTGCTTCATCGCTGGTGTACTCGACACTGTGCGCATGGTTATTTATATGGTGGGCTTCGCGGGTGCGTCCGTATGCCTCTTCATCGTGTTCGTCTTCGTCTCCATTCCGCAGTGGAAGGAGGCCGTCAGACAATGTGAAGTGAAAAGACCTCAGCGTCTGGTCCCCTTGGACGCGGCGATCGCCCCCGACCTGGGGCGTGTCTTTTGGCCACGCGCAGAGAGTGGTAGGGGGAGGGTGGAGGGCTTGTTAGAAGGAGGCTACCTCTCAGAAGGCGCGGGCCTTGCCTGCAGGTGTAGGGCCGGCGCCTTCTAAGAGGCAGGCAGCCTCCTTGGCCTTCCCCCCTCCCTGCGGTCGGACCGAGGTACAAGATCGAGGCCGGTTCGGGGAGGGTGGCCTAGTGTTCGTCGTGTTTGTTGGATGTTCTTGTATGTTGTTGTGCCTCGTAGGGGGAGGGTACCCTCGAGTGATCTTATGGTTTTGGCGTGTTCTGGCCAGCGGAGGGTCTCATGTCCTTGAAGGGCGTTCTTCTGTCTTGGGTCCGACCATACAGTCAACCCGCACGGCAAGGAGGGGCAATTGCCCCAAGGGTTACCCTTGCATCCTTGCCCCCTCGGTCCATCCTTGGCCACTTCCGTTGGCCGCACCCCGCTCGAGAAGCTTTCAAATGGCCTTCCAAGGCCCTGGCACCGGACCAGTTTCTGGCTGTCCTGGGCCGGGCGGGGCCAGCACAGGGGCAAAAGTAATTGAACTTCAAGTCGTTCCTGAGCGCTCCGGAGTGCTCCCCGAGCGTAGAACGCTCCTCGAGGAGGCTGCGGCGCCCGACGCCTCCTCCGGAGCCGTTGGATCTCAGAGCTCCCCGGTTGCCTTGGAGCTTGTTTTTTGGGGATTCAGGCAAGTTTACTTGCATGGCGTTCGCCCCCCCCCCCCCCCCTTCTCGCCCCTCTTCAAGCGAACACTAGCGTGCAAGTGCCTTTCGACTTGCGTGATTTCCGCGCCCCCCCGAACGTGCAAGTCGTTTGCGGCTTGCTTCAGGCTCAGCCCCCCCCCGTCCATGCAAGTAAATTTGCCAGAGTCTAAAAAAAACAGGCTCTTGCCTGGGCTTGTTCCTTCCTGGCTTCGTCCTGCTCTGCGGGCAGCCCCCCGAGGCTGAAGTATTCCAAGTGCGTAGGGGACGGGCGCCCAGGCTGCAGAGAACCCGCCCCCACCGGAGGTCCGGCTGCCTCCGGAGGTCCCCAGGAACTCCCCGGAGGTCCCCAGGCGGTCGCCAGAGGCTTCGATCCTCGATCCTCGCCTCGAAGAGGCATCCTCGATCCTTCGATCCTCAATCCTCGATCCTCGATCCTTGCCTCGAGGAGGGATCCTCGATCCTTCGATCCTCGATCGTCGAGCGGGCCGGCGCGCGAGAGAAGGCCTCGATTCTCGATCCCCTCGCCTTCCCCTTTCCCAATCGGCCCTCGAGGTCCAGTTCCCTGCCCGGGGTTTAGTACTTCGCGCCACGAGATCTTCGGGGGCGGCAAAGAGAGGGGTGATGGCTATGGGGGGGAGCTTCCTGGTGTGGGCCAATTTCCTCAGATCTCGTTGCGTTTCTTCTTACAGTGCCGTTTTTAGTAAGTGCTCCGCGTGCGGATCATGAACTAAAAATGCAGGGATTTTGTATTAAAAGCAAGTACGAGTTCATGCATTAATTTATTCATAACTTAATCCTGTATTAAAAATCCCATATTTCTAAACATCCCATGTATTAAAGACTGCCCTGTGTCTCGTTACGTCCCTTGCCCCCCCCCCCCCCCGGGCCGCGCACCTGCCGCCGGCCATGATTTGCGCCTCCCCCCCCTCTTGGACGCCCCCCTCTTCCTGGCATCGCTCGGACGTGTGCATTTTTTTCTCGGCGAGGACCCTCGAGGACCATCCTGGACCGTCGAGCAAAAATTACCCTGTGACGTACCCAACCCATTTGTATCATGGGAAACGAGGAAACGAGGAGTTGGCCGAAACTTGCACGGACAATCAAATTGCAGGATCCGTTGTTTGAAATGTAAGCTACTTGGGACACGCGCCTATGGCATGATGCGCAGGAGAACCATACAAGAACGAGGGGCGACAACTACAGGCTCGAAGCGGACATGGGGAGTCGGGAACGAAGAGGAGGAGAAAGACGTGCGGGAAGCCCACTGCGCTGTGCCCCTCAGCAGCCCTCGAAAGTGGCGACAGTTTCACAGATCGCAGCCCCCCAGGGACGGCGGGGTCTAATTTGAGTCTGCGGTGAGTACCCACTGTGCTGTGCCCCTCAGCAGCCCTCGAAAGTGGCGACAGTTTCACAGATCGCAGCCCCCAAGGGATGGCAAGGTCTAATATGAGTCTGCGGTGAGTACCCACTGTGCTGTGCCCCTCAGCAGCCCTCGAAAGTGGCGACAGTTTCACAGATCGCAGCCCCCCAGGGATGGCAAGATTTAATCTGAGTCTGCAGTGAGTACCCACTGTGCTGTGCCCCTTCAGCAGCCCTCGAAAGTGGCGACAATTTTACAGATCGCAGCCCCCCAGGGATGGCGAGGTCTAATCTGAGTCTGCGGTGAGCACCCACTGTGCTGTGCCCCATCAGCCGCCCTCGAAAGTGGTGACAGTTTCGCAGATCGCCGCCCCCCAGGGACGGCGAGGTCCCGCTCATGTCCGCGCGGTGCCTCACTCTGCAGGACCCACCAGCAGCCCTCGAAAGTGGCGACAGTCTCGCAGATCGCAGCCCCCCAGGGACGGCGAGGTCCCGCTCAGGTCCGCGCGGTGCTTCACTCTGCAGGACCCACTAGCAGCCCTCGAAAGTGGCGACAGTTTCGCAGATCGCACCCCCCCAGGGGCGGCGAGGTCCCGCTCAGGTCCGCGCGGCGCCTCACCCCGCAGGACCCACCAGCAGCCCTCGAAAGTGGCGACAGTTTCGCAGATCGCACCCCCCCCAGGGACGGCGAGGTCCCGCTCAGGTCCGCGCGGCGCCTCATTCCGCAGGACCCACCAGCAGTGGCGACAGTTTCGCAGACCGCAGCCCCCCAGAGACGGCGAGGTCTCGTTTGGGTCCGCGGTGGGTACCCTCTCTGCGGGCCTCCCCAGCAGCCTTCGAAAGTGGCGACAGTTTCGCAGATCGCAGCCCCCCAGGGACGGCGAGGTCCCGTTTGGGTCCGCGGTGAATACCCTCTCCGATGGCCTTCCCAGCAGCCCTCGAATGTGGCGACAATTTTACAGATCGCAGCCCCCCAGGGACGGCGAGGTCTCGTTTGGGTCCGCGGTGAGTACCCTTTTCTGCTGGCCTCCCCAGCAGCCCTCGAAAGTGGCTACAGTTTCGCAGATCGCAGCCCTCCAGGGACGGCGAGGTCCCTCTCAGGTCCGCGGTGAGTACCCTCTCCGCTGGCCTCCGCCTCCCCAGCACCCCTCGAAAGTGGCGACAGTTTCGCAGATCGCAGCCCCCCAGGGACGGCGAGGTCCCGCTCAGGTCCGCGGTGGGTACCCTCTCCGCTGGCCTCCCCAGCAGCCTTCGAAATTGGCGACAATTTTCGCAGATCGCAGCCCCCCAGGGACGGCGAGGTCCCGTTTGGGTCCGCGGTGGGTACCCTCTCCGCTGGCCTCCCCAGCAGCCCTCGAAAGTGGCGACAGTTTTGCAGATCGCAGCCCCCCAGGGATGACGAGGTCAAAGGCAGGGGGGAAGAGAGGGACGGGAAGGAATGAAGGAAGGTTCGCGCGAGCAGTGCTCTATTCAAAACGAGAACCCAACGCAGGAGGGTTGGGACAAACACGCACGAAACCGCAGAATGCACGGGAATTGGACGTCCGAGCGACGGCAAGCCTCTTGGCCGACCCTGAAATCCAAGGGTGCCCCCACGGGGCCCGAGAGCGCCGCGCGTCTAGGCTTATAACTTATGATGTTCCAGCCTGCGTTAGCCCTGATCACCAGAGAGAATCTCGAGCATCAATGAAAAGTGCCGAGACTGGAAGGGATTTCGCACGTCGGGCCCTGCGAGGCGAGACTCGTTCGACACAGTTTCGGTACTGTTCTGGGTGCTCGAGATTGTTCCTGGGGCGTGGTCCTTCAGTACGACTGGAGCAACATAAGGCGAGGCCTCCCAATTGGGGTCCGAGTAGCTGGGGTCGGAGGTCGCGGCGCATCGCGGATGCATCGACCATGCGGCTCGATGCAGAGCCGGATTGTCTTCACGCCGACGGCGCCGATGCGTCGCTGACGTCGACGATGCATGGTCAGAGCATCGTCAACGCAACACCGCTGCATCGCCGATGTATCGGCGATGCGGCGCGACCCTCCGACCCCGTCTACTCTGACCCCGACCCCATCTAGGAGGCCTCTAGCGCGGGCGCCGAGATGGCGAGCAGTCCCTGCGTCCTTCCATGACCACGCTTCGCTGGTGAGGGCCGGTGGCTGGAAACCCCTGATGGAGCGATGCCCAGCGAACGCGCACGACGCGGGGGAGGAGGGGCCGGGGAAGGCCCCCCCCCCCCACCCTTGGCACACGACGGGGGGGGCGGGGAGGGCGAACGGGCTCTCCTTCCCTCCCTCCCAGCTCTCGAGTCTCTCTCCTTCTCTCCTTCCCGCGCGCTGGGCCTCCCCCCCCCCCCCCTCCCCACCGGCACTCGATGTTTTTTTTGGTTGTTCTCTCTCTCCCTCTCTCTCTCTCTCTCTCTCTCCCTCCTGCGCGCTGGCGAGCCCCCCTCCTCTCCCCTGGCCCTGGAGTCGCTCTCCTTTCCCCCCGGCACTCATGCGATGCTTCACCTCGATGTTTGCCCTCTCGATGTTTTCCCTCCTTACGTTTTTCCTTCCTCGATTTTCCCCTCTCCTCCTTCCCCTCTCGATTTTTGTTCCCTCTCCTCCCGCCTGCGCCCTGCCGAGCGGAAGGGGGGCCTCATCCCCCCCCCCTGGCACGCGAGCGAGAAAGTCTGTGCTTTCCGGCCCGCTGCGTGGGTGAGTACTCCGTGGTCTTGTATGCCTTCCGACGTGGCGACGATAGACCCTCTAGAATCGCCTTGTTTCGCCCCTATCGCCGGCGGCGAGCGGGGGGGGGGGGGACTCGGGAGCCTTGCGACGGGGTCAATGCAAACGGGGGTCAGCCAGAGCGCCGGATCTTGCAGGATCCTGCAGGGCCAGGGTCATCGACCCTGGCTTGGGTGCAGGATCCTGCAGGATCCTGCAGGATCCTTCGTACTGACCCGGGCATGGGTGCAGGATCTTGCAGGATCTTGCCAGGCCTCACTGACCCGGGTCTGGACTGACCCGGGTCAGAAGACCACCGGGTGACGCGAGAAAGAGAAGGCCTTCTCAGAAGGCGGCGGGCCTTCTCGGAAGCCCTCGCGCCTCCGAGAAGTATGTTCTGGTGTCTTCGGGGGAGATTTGGAGCGCTTCTCGGAAGGCCGGGGGACTTCCGAGCTTTCTGAGAAGGCCCTCCCCTTCTCATTCCCCCCCCCGGGCTCGCCGCCGACCTCGGGCGCTGCTACATACCGACTGGTGACTGGAGTGGCACGGCCTTCCTTTCGCTCTCCAGGCGTTGCCACACAGGACGAGTAACGCTGGAGGGGCAGTGTGTTCCCGCCACGCTGCGTTGCCACGTGGCGAGTGCAATGGGATGATATCGGGGAGGCCGTACGGCCAGTGCCGCCGACCCTGAACGACGACGACGGCGACGGCGACGGCGACGGCGACGGTGACGGCGACGGCGATGGCGACGGCGACGGCGACGGCGACGGCGACGGCGACGGCGACGGCGACGGCGACGACGACGACGAC